TTGGCTCAGTGGATAGATCATCGGACTAAAGGGTCCCAAGTTCGATTCCAGTCAAGGGCATGTACCTTGATTGTGGGCACATCTCCAGTGGTGGGGTGGTGGTGGTGGTGGTGCAAGAGGCAGCTGATCGATGTTTCTAACTCTCTATCCCTCTCTCTTTCTCTCTGTAAAAAATCAATAAAATATATTTTAAAATAAAATAAAATAAAATTTATTTTGTATTATATGAGTACTAGTGATTTGGTGCATGGATTAGTGAATATTGAAAGGAAATTAATTAGGAGGTGGCCAGTGGGGTGGGACTGGGTGAGAAGGGCCAGACATGCACTGGAGCCAACCTTCTATGGTCTCTCCCTGGCATCTGTGGAGTGAGCCTGATTTGTGGGGATAGGTTGAAACTGGCTCCCCAACATCCCCCAAAGGGTCCTGGAGTGTGAAAGAGCACTTTGAAAGTTGCTATTGTACAGGATGTGGAATGCAAATGCAAGTGTTCAGTAAACATATTTGGGGCAGACAGTGCCCCAGCAACAACATAAACCATGGCCGATGGTGGAATCATGCAGCCCCACGATGAATTGGGCTCCTTCCTCTCTGATTTTGGGGTACATCACTGAAGAACCACCATTGCTAAATCACTGCAGCTTGGCAGCTCATGGTCAGTGCACATCATAGCGACTGGTCAGAGAGTATGAGGCATAGTTAATGCATTAACCTTTTATATATATAGACTAGTGGCCCGGTGCATGAAATTCATGCACAGTGGGGTTGGGGTTCCTTCAGCCCAACCTTCACCCTCTCCAATCGGGGACATCCCTTTTGCAATATGGGGCTGCTGGCTCCTAACTGCTCATCTGCCTGCCTGCCTGATTGCCCCTCTCCTGCCAGTCTGATCTCACCCCCAATGGCCCTCCCCTACCAGTCTGATCTTGCCCCCAATTCCCTCCCCTTCTGGCCTTACTTTGCCCCAACTGTCCTTTCCTACCAGCCTGATGGCCCCTAACTGCCTGATCACCCTAACTGCCCTCCCCTGCCGGCCTGATCTTGCCCCCAACTGCCCTCCTCTGCCGGCCAATTTCGTTCTGATTGGTCAGTTTCTATGCCAGTCAGCATCAAAAGCTCTGCCTCCTAGGTAGCCATTGGCTCCTCACAGTTCACCCAGATTTGGTTCTGATTGGTTGGTTTCAATGGCAGTCAACATCTCTGGGCCTATCAATGGGGCCTGATCAGAAAGTCAGGCTGATCAGCAGACCTGGTGGAGGCCCAGAGAGAAATGGAGGCACGGCTGCTGGCGTGGCCTGGAGAGAAAGATAGAGGCAAGTGCTGATCAACAGCTGCCACACAGGTTAAGGATCAAACCCTGCTTCTCTCTTCAGGCCTCTCTCCCGGCCTGATTCGCAACCCCCTCAGCAGTCAGTGCTGGGTCATCGTCCTTCAGCTACAGCAGTGAGCAACCCAGGGTTGACTGCAGGACTGACTTCTGGTTGGTCGAGCCTTCAGTTGGGCCCAGCTTTTTTTTTTTTTTTTTTTTTCCTTTTCCATTTGCGTGGAATATATTTTTTCATTCCTTCACTCTCAATCCGTATCTTTTGTTCTGAGCGGGATCTCTTGAGAGAGTATATTTATGGGTCATGTTTTCCTAACCACTCAGTCACCCTATGTCTTTTGACTGAAGTATTTATTCCATTTACACTTAAGATTATTATTGACAGGTATTTATTTGTTGCTATTTTTAGTTTCTTTATACTTATGACCTATTCTCTCTTCTTCTTCCTCTTAAAGTAATCCCTTTAACATTTCTTGCATTGCTGGGTTGGTGGTAATGTACTCCTTTAACCTTTTCTGGTCTGGAAATTATTTTTTAAATAATACATCTTATTTTTTAAATTTAATAAATCTTTATTGTTTAGATTATTACAATTGTTCCTCTTTTTTCCTCCCATAGTTCCCCTCCACCTCCATACCCTTACCCTCCTCACCCCCGTCCTCATCCATAGGCATGTTTTTGTCCCGTCTTTTCCTGCAACCCTTTACCCCAAGGATTGCCAGTCCACTCCGCCCCCCTCTTTTTTTTTTTTTTTTGAAACAAATTCATAGTCTGTATTTCCATCTCTATGAGCATTAAGCAAGGAATACTCCACCACCCCCTCCCAGAAGCCCAGCCTCACAGAAGGTGGGGAGCCATTAGCTAGGGTGGTAACAGCCACCAGGGTCCTCTGCTGGCATACACTTGGCAAGTTCCAGAAAGAATCTATTGGGGCCGAAACCGATTTACCTCAATGGATAGAACGTCGGCTTAGGTGCCTGTGGGGCAGATAGAGAAAAGGGGGAACACATGCTCTTGGAAGTTGACACAGAAGGTGTAGAGGTGGCGCATGTCCTCCACAGCGTAGAAGGACATGGTCCTTATCTCCAGGTTTAGCGCCACCCTCACACGGGACAAGTGGCCACAGCTGAGGGGTGTCCCCTCAGAGCTGGTCACGGCCCAGTACTGCCCACTGTTGAGCTGCAGTGCCAAGACACCCTCCTTGGGAGTGAAGGGTGTAAGTCCCTTGCAGCCCACACTCTCATGGGCCATTCCAAAGGCCCAGCCATCCTGGGAGCCCACCTCCACCTCCCAGTGGTGCCGCCCAGAGGAGAAGTTGCAGGATGCCAGGAAGCTGCGTGTGTTGGTATCAAAGCGATGCGGGTGGTTGGGCAGGTCCTAGGCCCGCTGTCCAAGGCACAGACTCTTAAGATCCAGAGAGAGGATGAGGCAGGGGTTGGCCATGTCCAGGTCCAAGGTCAGCTCCACTTTCTCCTCTTTCTCTAGCTCTCCACAAAGATACTCTTTGAACAACTTGAGCAGCCCCTTTAAGACAAAAGTCTTGAGGGAAACATTCCAGACTTTATTCTTCATCTCAGAAGAGACTGTGCTTGGCTTAGGGGCTGGCACATTGCTGCACCTGCTTAATGTGTTTTTAAATTCCTGGAGAAAGTCAAGGTTGGGCTTGCTAGCTGTCTCCTGGGATCTGGCTGGTGAGCTTGGACAGCTGCCGAGGATCTCATTCTGCTTTGTGTCACCTCCTGGGAAAGCTCCTCTAGGCGGCCCAGGAGCCCACCCTCCTGCTCCACCAGGAAGGCCCGCAGGGCTTGAAACTCTGCCCCCACCTTCTGTCGCTCAGCTGCCATCTGCTTTAGGAGCTCCTTGTTCTCCTTCCCTTCTGTGCAACGAAACACCTCAATAATCCAGGTCACTCTTCAAGACCTTAGCCTGGACTCCAGGAGCTCCTTGGCCTGCACAGCCTCGTTGAGCGGGATCATGGGGGTGTGCGCTGTGCTCGCTGTTGCACACCACGCAAATGGCCCGCTCATCCTCCTGCTGTAGTAGAGCTTGAGCAGCTCCTGGTGCTGTGTGCAGCCCGCCGCCTCCAGGAGCCTGTGCAGGCTGAAGCGCTGTGGGCAGGGCAGGGGAGGTGGGAGGTGGGGTCGGGGGTAGGGGGGACGAAGGTCGTAGGGGTGGGGCGGGGGGGGGTAGGAGGGACAGGGGAGCTCGTGCCTGGGTGCTCCCAGCAGCGCGAGATGCAGGAGAAGCAGAAGCTGAAGAGCTCCAGGCAGATGGAGCTCATCCCTCGCTCCACCAGAGCCAGGGCCTCTGCCCCAGAGCCAGGACCTAAGTACACAGAGCCTGGAGTCCCACTCTCTTTCAATGCCCTCGATTCTATTATATTCACAGGTTAATACTGTTCATCAGATGTTTTATTCACTTGATTTTTAGATTCACTTGTTGATAGACATGTATTTGTTGTTCATAATTTTTATCTTTACCTTTTTCTTCTTCTTCCCCCTTTTTTTTCTTTTTAAAATATATTTTATTTATTTATTTATTTATTTATTTATTTATTTTTTATAGAGAGGAAGGAAGAGGGATAGAGAGTTAGAAACATCAATGAGAGAGAAACATTGATCGCTGTCTCCTGCACACTCCCCACTGGGGATGTGCCAGGTACCAAGGTACATGTCCTTGACTGGAATTGAACCTAGGTCTCCACAGTCCACAGGCTGACGCTCTATCCACTGAGCCAAACCGGCCAGCGCTAGGCCTAGACTTACTTTCAAAGGTCCTTGCGTTTTCTTTTTTTTTTTCTTTCTTTTTTTTTTTTTTCCTAAGGACACGAAGACTTTATTTTGCACACAAAACCACTGGGGATCTCGCCTGTGGACACTTCTGAGATTACAATGCAGATGCATTTGGCTGACACTTGAGAAGCGAGGTGAGAAGAACAATGATTTGGACCAGTCACATGACTACAGGGCTAGGGTTTCCACCAGGGTTCTATGTCAGGCTTGGCTTTGTGGCAGCTCTAAGAAGCAGTGCTAACACCACAGGGAGGGGAGAGGCAGAGGCCCCCACAGGTATGGACGGGGCCCCTGGGCTGCCCGTGCAGATGTCAGGAGCAGAGGTCTGATTAGCTGAGTTGTGACCAGGGGCTCGGGCTGCCTGCCCAGAGCTTACTTGGCCAGGGGGTTTCTGAAGTTCCTGCCAGAAAACTTGGCCTTGCTGCCCAGCTCCTCCTCGATTCTAAGGATCTGGTTGTACTTGGCCAATCGTTAAAGATCGGCAGGGAGCACCAGTCTTGATCTGCCCAGTGCAGAGCCCCACCACCAGGTCGGCAATGAAAGTGTCTTCGGTCTCCCCGGAGCGATGGGACTCCATGACACCCCACCCATTGGACTGGGCCATCTTGCACGCCTGGATAGACTCGGTCACGGAGCCGATCTGGTTCACTTTGAGCAGGAGGCAGTTGCACGACTTCTCGCTCACGGCCTTGGCGATCCGCTTCGGGTTGGTCACTGTGAGGTCATCCCCCACCACCTGGATCTCTGTGCTGGCCGTGAACTTGCGCCACGCTTCCCAGTCATCCTGGTCGAAGGGGTCTTCGATTGACACCAGTGGGTAGTCCTTGATGAAGGACTTGTACAGGTTGGCCAGCTCGTCGTGGGTGATGTACCGGTTGGGGTCGTCAGGCGACTTGAAGTCCAGGTCGTACTTTCCAGACTTGAAGAACTCGGAGGCAGCCACATCCAATGACCACCTTGTCGGTGTAGCCGGCTTTCCCGATGGCGTTCTTCAGCAGCTCCAGGGCTTCCTTATTCTCCAGGATGTTGGGAGCAAAGCCACCTTCGTCCCCCACGTTGGTGGTGTCTTTCCCGTACTTCTCCTTGATGACATTCTTCAGGTTGTGGTAGACCTCGGCCCCGATGCGCATGGCGTCCCGAAAGTTGGCGGCGCCAACGGGGAGGATCATGAACTCCTGCATGGCCAGCTTGTTGCCGGCGTGAGAACCCCCGTTGATGACATTCAAAGCCGGAACGGGCAGGATGACCTCGGAGTTGCCAGCCAGGTCAGCAATGTGGCGGTACAGGGGCACCCCCTTCTCAACAGCCCCAGACTTGCAGACTGCCAGGGACACTCCCAGAATGGCGTTGGCACCGAATTTAGATTTATTCTCCGTCCCGTCCATCTCTATCATCAGCTTGTCGATCTTCTCCTGCTCCACGACGTTCAGCTTCTTGCTAACCAGGGCAGGCGCAATAGTTTTATTGATGTGCTCAACAGCCTTGGAGACACCCTTTCCCAGATAGCGCGTCTTGTCATTGTCCCAAGCTCTAGAGCCTCGTAGATACCAGTTGAGGCACCACTGGGCACAGCAGCTCTGAAGAGACCCTTTGCCGTGTACAGATCCACCTCAACAGTGGGGTTCCCGCGGGAGTCGAAGATCTCTCTGGCGTGCACCTTCAGGATAGACATGGTGAATTTCTGGCCGCGGACGTCGCCGAGGAGGAGGGAGCTCAGTCACAACGTGCCGTGCTGCGAGCACTCGGTCCTTGAGTTTTCTCTGGCCTCTTTGATGCTACACAGCTTGACAAGCTGTTTGCATGAAAATAATTCCCTTTAATTCGGGAAACTCAAGGACCTCGAGGTAATCTTGAACAACTTTCCAATCTGGGACCATGTAATGAGTCACATCACCAGACAAGAGTTTCCCATCGTTGCGGCAGGCGGCGGGCCGCGGGCACAGCGGGCTGTTGCAGGGCACGCTGGGCCGCAGGTAGTGCTCCCGCACGATGCGCAGCTTCCGGCCCTGGAAGGTCCGCAGCAGCAGCACCTTCTCCCGCTTCTGCAGCATGGCGGCCGCTGGCTCCGGCCCCGCTCCGGGCTCAGCTCCGGCCAGACTCCGGCCGCGGGCCACCACAGCCGAGCGGAGGCGCGGGCGGAGGCAAGGCCGCGGCTTCGGGCCCGCCCCCTGGGCCTAGGCCTGACCCGCGCCTTCTTCCCCTTCTTAAAGAACACCTTTAAGCATTTCACTTAATACTTGTTTGGTGATGATGAACTCCTTTAGCTTTTTCTTATATATGAAGCTCTTTATTTGCCCTTCAATTCTGAATGATAGCTTTGTTGGGTAGAGTACTCTTGGTTGTAAGTTCTTGTTATTCATTACTTTGACTATTTCTTGCCACTTCTGTCTGGCTTGCATAGTTTCTGTTGAGAAATCATCTGACAATCATATGGGTGCTCCCTTGTAGGTAACTAATTGTTTTTCTCTTGCTGCTTGTAAGATTCTTTTTTTTTTTTTTTTTTTTTTTTGTCTTTTGCTCTTGGCATTTTTTTTTTCAAGGATTGAAATTTCTTTCTTTCTTTATTTTTTTTAAAAAAATAAATCTTTATTGTTCAGATTATTACAAATGTTCCTCATTTTTTCCCCCTCCATTGCTCTCCTCCACCAGGTTCCCACCCCGCCCTCTGACCTTTTCCCACCCCCATTGTTCTCATCCATAGATGCACAGTGTTTGTTCAGGATCTTACTGCACCCCCTACTCCCCTTTTCCTTGAGAATTGTCAGTCCACTCCCCTTCCATATCTCTGATTCTATTATATTCACTAGTTAATATTGTTCATTGGTTTTTTGTTTTTTTTAAATTCCCTTGGCTTTTAGTTTCACTTGTTGATAGTTACGTATTTGTTGTTCATAATTTTTATCTATATCTTCTTCCTCTTCCTAAAGAACCCCCTTCAGCAATTCATATAACTCTGGTTTGGTGGTGATGAACTCCTTTAGCTTTTTTTTTTTATTTGTGAAGCTCTTTATCTGGCCTTCGATTCTGAGTGATAGCTTTGCTGGGTAGAGTATTTTGGGCTGTAGGTTTTTGCTATTCATCACCTTGTCATTCCCATCTGGCCTGCATGGTTTCTGTTGAGAAATCAGCTGACAATCTAAAGGGTGCTCCTTTATAGGTAACTACTTGCTTTTCTCTTGCTGCTTTTAATATTCTCTCTTTGTCTTTTACTCTTGGCATTTTAATTATAATGTGTCTTGGTGTGGTCCTCTTTGGATTCCTTTTGTTTGGGGTTCTGTGCACTTTCTGGACTTGTAAGTCTATTTTTTCCCCAGGTGGGGGAAGTTTTCTGTTACTATTTCTTTCAGTATGTTTTCGGTATCTTGTTCTTTTTTTTTTATTAAGTATTTTATTTTATTTTATTTTACATATTTTATTGATTTTTTATTTTTATTTTTTTAAATTTATTATTTATTTTTTTATTAATTTTTTTTACCCCCTCCCTCCCTCCCACACATCCCCTCCCTCCCCAGGTATCTTGTTCTCTCTCTTCTTCTGGAACCCCCATAATTCTGATGTTGGTTTGCTTGAAGTTGTCCCAGAGTTTCTTACATTATCTTCAACTTTCTGTATTCTCTTGTCTTCTTGCTTCTGAGGAGGAGTGTCTTCTGGCTCTTTATGTTCCAAATCTTTAACTTGATTCTTGCGATCTTCCATTCTGTTTTTAGGACTCTGTATAATATTTTTTTTATTTCAGACAATGTATTCTTTATTTCTAGTTGATCCCTTTTCATGTCCTCATCGGTCTAGTTTATTTTATCAGCCTTTTCTAGGAAATTCTTGAAAAACTTATAAGCGTGGTTTTGAACTCTATATCCAGTTGCTTCTTGTCCTCCATTTCTTTTGTTTGTGATCTATTTCCTTGTCTCAGCATTTTCACAGCTTCCCTGAGTTGGTAGGATGGTTTTGTATGCTAAAGTGTCCTATATGGCTCAGTGGGTCAGCCTCCTAGTTACCTGAGGTGGACAGTCTTGGTGTAGCCCTTTGTGGGCTGTGTGTGCAGTCTTGTTGTTAAGCCTTGCTTGCTGTTGGTATCCCTGAGAAAGATTGATTGCCAAGCCAACTGGCTATGAGGCTCAGAAGTGTCTCAGCTAGGAGGGTTTCTGTATTCCACTTGGATGGGGTGGGGTCTCGGGGTGGCACAGCCAAGCTTTGGTGAATCCCGGAAGATTGGTTGCAGGCGCATGCCCCTCTTTGGTATAGGCGCAGACAAGCTTTGGATTCTCGGTGAATGAGAAAGCTAGCCACTGGAAGGGCTTCTGTGCTCCGCTTGGATGGGGCGGAGTCTTGGGGTGGTGCAGATGAGCTTTATTCAGCCATTCCCTATAAGGGTCTGGTTTCTGAGTCCCGCAGTAATGGCCGCTGGCTTCACACACCTCCGAAAGATCTCTGCCCACTGCCTGACAATCTGGCCTCTCCCTGTCGGGGCCATCTATCAGAGAAATAGGGTGGTTCTGTTTTCCTCCCGAACAAGAAAGCTAGCTGCGCATTAGCTGTCTGCCCTCTCCATGCCCAGGGAGTAAGCCAGCAGTGAACTTGGCCTGCCCTCTCCATGCTCCACAAGCAAGCCAGCAGTGAAGTCAGGCGGCCGCCTTTTCATGCACACAGTTCTCCGTACCTTTACAGTTCCTGAGGTTCAGCGTGCCTTCTCTCTCCTTCCCACATGGTAGAGCCTCCTCTTAGCCAGCCATCCGGTGCTTCAGAGCGATGCTTCCCCTGTTTTCCAGTTCTAAATTCAAATTTGTTGTGGTAGGCTGCATTCAGGTGTCTACCCTATGCCACCATCTTGGTTTCTCTCTTTGCTCTTTGCATTTTAATTATGATGTGTCTTGATGTGGCCCTCTTTGGATTCATTTTGTTCCAGATTTTGTGTGCTTCCTGAACTTGTAAGTCTATTTCTTTCACCAGGTGGGGGGAACGTTTCAGTCATTATTTCTTTGCATAGATTTTCAGTATCTTGCTCTCTCTCTTCTTCTGGCATCCCCATATTTGGATGTTGGTATGCTTGAAGTTGTCCCAGAGGCTCCTTACACTATCTTCAAATTTTTGGCTTCTTTTTTTCTTTTTGCTTTTTCCGGTTGAGTGTTTTTTGCTTCTTTGTATTTCAAATCTTTGACTTGATTCTTGGGATCCTCTAGTCTATTATTGGATCTCTGTATAAATTTTTTAATTTCAGTCAGTGTATGTTTAATTTCTAGTTGGACCTTTTTCATATCCTTGAGGGTCTCACTAAATTTATCAACCTTTTCTAGGAAATTCTTGAAAAACCTTATAACTGTTATTTTAAATTCTATAACCAGTAGTTTGCTTTCCTCCATTTCTTTCTTTTTTGACCTGTTTCTTTGTCTTTGTATTTTCGCTGCTTCCCTGAGTTTGTAAGGTAGCTCTGTATGCTAAGTGTCCTACATGGCCCAGTGGCTCGGCCTCCCCCAGTTTCCTGAGATGGACACTTTTGGTGCAACCCTTTGTGGTCTGTGTGCACAGCCTTGTTGTAGTTAAGCCTTGATTGTTGTTGGTATAACTGGGAGGAATTGACCTCTAGACCAATTGGCTGTGAGGATTAGCTCTGTATACGCTCGGAGAACTTCTGTGCTGGAGACAACCTTATGGGGAAGATTTGAAGAAGTCTCTGTGCTCAGCTTGGATGGGGTTGAGTCTCAGAGCTGAGCAGACAGCCTTGGCTTCTTGTTAACACTGCCCTATGAGGCCCTGAGGTCTCAGTGTCCCTCGGTAATCACTGCAAGCACCTCTGAGAGAAAACCACCTGTTGGAGACTGGGTGTAAGCTGACAGAGACCTTGCACCTGAAAGGACTGATAAGAATCAGTCCCATACCCACACAGTGTTCTCAGGTTTGTTTGGATGGCAATTTCCAATTATCAGTAGAATGAGAGCAACCTTTCATGGCTTACCAGAAGTCTGTAATTATTTACTGAGATTTGCTGTACCGAGAATTTGCCTTTCTGCTCTATCTCTCCTTTAGAGATTAAGAGGAACAAAGAGTACATTCCTCTTGACTGACCTCCCATTGTGTATAAAAGGCATTGCGCAGTTAAAAAAGCTGCTGCAGTATGTCAATGGCTTGCAGCCCTCCCGATCCCACTTTCTTGTCTTTCTTTTCTTAATTCCTACCTCCTTACCTCAGCCTGGTTCACCTGTCAGTCTGGTCCTGGCAGTCACCCTCGAGTTTCACCCGCTGCCAGACAGTCCAGTTTCCCCCCGAATGAGTCTGGTTTCCCAGAAACTTGCCTCGAACTGGAGTTCAGTGCAGTTGGGAGTTTCCGTCTTCCTCCCACATTAGAAAGCCAGCCACACACTCAGCCAGCCATACACTCAGCAGTCAATCCTCTCTCTGT